GAGTGTTGTGACGTATTTGAGGCATTTCTCAAGTTTCTGTATAGCTGTCATATTGTCCTGACTGTGGAGAATACCCTTCCCATTCTCATGCTTGCCGACAAGTATAATGTGAGCGACCTGCGACTCGTCTGCATCAACTTTGCCACCAAGAGCATCATCCCCAAGTTGCCGCTCAAGGATGTGTTTCATGTCTGGTACCAGTACGCCACCAAGTGCTACCACCACCGTCTCATCACCTCCTGCATTGCAGCCCTGTCGCCCAAGGCCGATGACATCATGTCCCTGCCCGAGTGGAACATGGAGTGGCTGGCCTTGGACGTGGAACAGCTGACGCAGTTCCTGAAAAGCTCCGACCTGACCATCCGCAACGAGCTGACCCTGTTCCGCGCCCTGGTCAAATGGATTGAGTCGCCCAAGCACCCCGAGCGCCAGAGCAAGCAGAAGGAGCTGCTGCAGCAGTTCATCCAGTACATCCGTTTCCCGATGATGACCCCAGAACAGCTGGAGTATCTGGAGAAGCACCGTGTGGTGGAGCAGAACCCAGAGATGTTTGTACCTTACCTCCTGCAGGCCTACAAGTTCAACGCTGTCAGTTTGGAAGCTAGGTCCAGTAACAAGGATTTTGCCTCCTCCAGGTTCCTGCTGCGCAACTACACCGACCTCCGTTGGGACAAGCGCATCGTCCTGTCGGGATACTCCCACTTCGGGAGGCTCTCGGAGGTCATGCCACGCTTCTCCACCCGGTCTTCCTCCTACCCCCACACCAGCTGGGACTGGGAGTTGAAGATCTACCCCAAGGGCTCATCCACAAACAACGAAGATTTCCGCGTCGTGCTCTACTCTAACGTGGTGCTGGATCTACCCCGGCCCATGGAATACATGATCTCCATGGTGAATAATGAAAACGTGTTGGTGTCTGTGGCAGGAAAGAAGAACTTCACCAAGTCAAGGTACACTGCTGACTCTGATCTGGACAAGAAGGTCTCAGTGGACGAGCTGTCTTCACCGAATTCCCGCTTTTTGGTGAACGATAATGTCGTACTGCAGGTGATGGTCAAGCCACTGCAGTGACTTATTGTCGAAGAAGAAGTTGAAAGGAAATTGGTTTGCAGCAGATGACAGATTCTCCTAGACCCTTGCTAAAAAAGTAAATTAAAATAAAAGATTAAAAATAAAAAGACAGAGTCATCTAAAAACCCAAAGAGCTATATGGATTTCTATACCTGTGCATGTGTGTTCGTTGTGTGTCAGCCAGACTTTCACTGTGGTCAGTCATTGGATGTTTGTGCAGTCATCACAAAGTTTGTGTTGGAACTGTGACAACTTGAGAAATGCAAAGTTACGAACCACTTGGCATGAACTTTGTTTAGACTTAACAAGAAGATTGCCAGTATTTTTGGCCGGGGCTGTAGTGCAAATGAATGGAAGAACTTTATTTCATTCAGTGCGACTGGCATGAACTACTGTATGTGAATTGTGCACTAGACATCATGGCTCGTTCCAGATTGTACATTGTGTGTGTTGAGACCATTGTTCTCTTGGACTGCCGTGCATTTACCGAGTATGCATGAAGCCACTCACAAGACTGTGTCAACAGCTGCGTGTAATACATTGTGTCTTGCCATGCAGTACATGTATTTCCTGCATGTACATGTACACTTGACCTGAGGACTGTTTGATTGTTTGAACTACTCTACATGTATGTGACGAGGAGAAGCTGACAACGTATTGAAATTGTCTTGTCTGCATATGTAGTTGCTGATTTCCAGTGTGTGAAACTGTTGTCTTCTTGCAACCTGAATTTTCACTCAGGAACTACGTGTGAAAAAAGACATATGGAGTGCATAGCTTCAGGTGTTACGCTTAATAAAGGTTGTGATTTATTTTTGTAATGCAAGAGTCACACCGGTAAGTTATTCATGTTATGGTGTGAACTCCTCCCGAAAGAAATAGGTAATTGTTGGTAGTATTAATGTTTTAAATGATTGTCGCTTTGTGAGTATAATTGTTTTGTCGCTGTATGTGTATTTTGAAACTTTGTTGACAACAACACATGATTGTTGCTGGTTGATCTAATTTCAATTTTTATTTTGAGAAGAGAAATTTAGCATACTGTATGTGCAATTGATTTGTAATTTTCAGAATTACTCACTGGAATGCTTAATTGCAAATTCAAATTTCCCACTTCCATTTTTGCACATGGCTTTCTTAAAAAGCACAAACATGTTTTAAAAAATGTTTATCCAATAGTCTTTGAATCTCATAAACATCATCATGCACCCTCTGTAAACCTTGAATTTTGGTTTGGTCATTGAAATGTAGTTGAACTTGACTGTCAGAACATTGGGTTGTATTCAGAATGAAGCACTGTAAAAACATCCTACAGTGCATGTAAACTGTTGCTACATGTATTGTCACTGTTCTTACTGGAAGTTTTATTTCAAGATCTGCACAAGAATTAGCACACAGCATGGATGGATCAGCAAAGGATGCTAGATTAGCTGTACTGCAAGTGAAAGCAGGCAATATTTATTGTGTTAAACATTATTGGTGTGTTCTTCCCAGTGTTACAGAAAATGAACTAAAACGTTATTCAAAGAGCTGTTACCTTTTGGAAAGTCATTGTACAATTCCAAATTTCCCCTTTTTGAGCATGTTTCCTCCCAACACTCTGAAAGGTACAGTCCCATCGTTTGAATTATCTAACAAGTAACTGATGAAATTATTGTTGAAAAGCATACTTGGTTTTAGCATGTTATGGGACTAAACTCCTTGTGAAATTATTCTTGTTGGCAACCTTGTCATTTTGAGGAAAACTACGAAAGGCCATCCCAATGCATCTAAAGACCCATTTTTGGAAAATTGCCATTAAAGCATGCACCAGCATTGACACAACATGCGTGCACACGTAGTTACTATACTTCGTTAGTTCATCAGTGCATGACATCACAGAGCTGAATTTGATTGAACATGAAAATTTGTCCCAGACGCTGGATTCAGGAGCAATTTAAAACTTCTTGATTCAGTGAGTTTTGATTTGAAATTGAAATCCTAGAAACTTGTTTTTCTCAGAGTGTTTTTCTCAGTATTCACCAAACTGAAAGTTCAGTGGGTTTGCTCTTGGGCACTCTTCTTTAGAGTTTGAGTCATTTTGTCGCCACAAAGGAACACAGTGCAAAAATGTAAAATGATGGACCATACATGTATATGTATATGTAACTTTAAGGTGGGTTGAAGCAAAACAATAATTATATTGTGCATCACACTGGTAAAAAGTAGTTGACCAGTGGTTGAACTATACTTGTATGCAATGTAAATGTACATGTAGTTCATGCCTGGACTTACTCTTATATACATGTATTCTTGAAATCTGAAGAACAACTGCACATGTGCAGGTACATGTACGTACATGTGCATACCAGTACATGTAAATCTCTGGTTGCTAATGGTATTAAACGTAGAATACTTTCTTCACTTTACTCATGTACATGTACCTTTGGCTTTTAGAATTTGGGGGTACACCATGTTATAATTTTTTAGCATGCATGAGAAGTTGTATTAATTGTATCGCATGATTCATTGTCAGCCAGTCATCAGATGCCCTGTCAGCCAATCAAAGGCCAGAATCTATGGATGAAGAGGTATCCACCCAAATACTCAATACTGTCAAGACCTTATCGTCAAGCCCACTTCTGAACAAAAAATAAAAGAAACTGGAAAACTTAACTTGGGTTCACCTAAGTGCAAAAGGAGAAACAAGATTATGTCAGGATTTACGTGTACAGTGTATGTGTAACCCTCTGAACTTTTGTGCTTGTAAAGTCATAATAGGTTTTTGATGTGTGCCCAGACTTGCCCAGTCTTGGTCTGAGTCTTCAGCCTTTTAGGGGAACAAGCTTCATTCAGACACATGTATTTTATTGGTCTACACACAGAGTTTACTTAGACTTTGGATATTGTCCATTTCACATGCTCCTTGTGTCCACATGTACCTTTTTTGGGGCGCCAACCCTCCATACCTAGTGTGGACTTGTGAACAAAAGATGTCCATATGATGCAGGAAGGGAAGATGTTCTGTGGACTTACACACATCCACAGGACGTTTCCCCTTCTCTGAGAAAGAAGTTTAGAGGCATTTTTGGGTTGGGGTCATCTGTCGTAAAAGGAAGAGGAATAGTCAAGGAAACCTTGTACAAAAAGCCAGCTGAAAATCTTGTTCCCAGTTCAAGAAAAACGAGTATTTTCACTGAGTTTTCTTAACTGCAT